GGGGGGGGGGGGTTACCTTGGTTGGTTATTGGCTAATGGTTACACAAACCCAAAAAATCGTTATGACATCATAAAGCGGCCAACATCTGATCAGCTCATTTTCAGACAGATTTGTAAATAAATGGATCAGGACAAAAAGAGAGGGGGTCTTTTTTCATGAAACTTTCAGAATCTCTTTACACAGAGGGGACACATGTTTATGTAGAAAAGACTTGAAGAAGTGGATTTTGCTCAATAGGTGACCTTTAAAGTGTCGACAATAGCCATCACGCTGAGGAACCATAGGCAAAAAGCTGGGGACAACAAAATGGTTTCCTAACGTAGGTATATGTGGAGAACGTTCCTGTCCCTTGTGACATGGAGAGAAAGTGGCCGAGCCGAGCACTCACTTTACTGAGGATGATCTCCGGTGCCAGGTACTCTGGGGTCCCACAAAGCGTCCAGGTTCGGCCCTTCACCCGTTTTGCGAATCCAAAATCTGTTACCTGGGTACAGAAAGCATAGCTGTGAGCATGAGACCGATCAAACGTAATTATTGTTGAGGTTAAAAAAAACAGACATGCACTCCTTGCCTGTATGTAGCCTTGCTGGTCAATGAGCAGGTTCTCAGGTTTAAGGTCTCGGTAGATGAGATCCAGCGAGTGAAGGTATTCGAAGGTCAGTACAATCTGGGCTGCGTAGAAGCGCGCGTGCGGTTCACTGCAAAACACATCAGGGGTGCGATATTTACAGCGAACCAGTGATATGATTAAATATTTCAGTAGCCTAAAAGCAAAGAAAAACAGACTCAAAGACAGTTTCTTCCCCAGAGCAATCATGGCACTGAACTCTTGCACTATTACCAGCCCTCTGCAATAACCCACACATCTGCAATACTATACGCACACACATTTATTATGCTATACTAATTGAATTCTTTACTTTGTTAATATTTTATGTATGTATGAATGCTGCCTATCTCTGTGTATGCTGTCTTTTCTGAATGTTTTGATGGCACCTTGAAAAAGGAGTAGCTTTACTCTTCTCGTTGTACTTGTATAATGACAATAAATGCTTCCATTCTATTCTAAAAACAGTTATTATTAACAAAAACTGAGCACATGTTAGTCAGCGTTTCGCGTAAGACAAGATGGCACTGACATCATTAAACACTTAATGTGACTGCATCAACGTGCAATTATGTTTAGTGGGAAAGGAATGACCTAAGTGTAGCTTAATAAATAACAACGTCATCAAAATCCCTCTTTATTTTAATTAACAAATAAATAAAATAAAAGACTAACTTGAGAAGTTAACAACGACAACATTTAATTTTTCTGAGAAAGAAACAAGGAAACATTTTCGCAGGACTAGAAGACTATAGCAGTAGTCATTAACAACAACTATCCTCAAATAGTTGACAAACGCTGACAAAAATCAACTCACCTGAATCTACCGATTCTCCTTAAGTGCGAGAACATTTCTCCGCCGGGTACATACTCCATTATCATATAGAGATTACTGTTGTCCTGTAGAAAGATCAGAACAATTTTAGCTCCAAATGCAAAACGTACATGCAAATATAATGTGCTCGTTAATAGTAGATAACCAGATAAAGTGTTTAATGCATACCTTAAAAGAGTGCTCCAGTCGCACCAGAAAGGGGAAGCTGACGGCTTGCAGGATGCGTTTCTCGTTCAGTGTGTGTTCTATCTGCTTCAGCTTCACTACCTACAGGGAACAGGATGGACTCTCATTTAAAAAAAGAAGGGTGGAAAAGGTCTCATTCCACACCATTATACAAATAAAAAAAGATGATAACTTCTTGTGAAATAGTACTTTATGTTATTTGCATGTGCTAAAATGACCAAACTAGCATAAAACAACGAATCTCTCCAACAGGAGGTCTTTCAGGGAAAACACACTGGAGAGAACGTTCACGGCACTGTAGGACATTTTCACTTTGACAACAAAGTCATCTTTATGCCTCGAGATCAAAGAAACACTTGTAGAGCTACAAAAAAACATTTGATATTGTCACAGTCATGAAGCTGCTAGCCAACGTTGCATCGCACATTAGAAATAACTGAGACAATAACCCTGGTGATGTCTTTCAGTTAGGTTTCTTCGATACACTTCTGACTACAAAGTCTCCAGGCTGTCAGTGCTTATAGATTATCATTGGCTCTGTGCTCAGTAAGTGTCTTCTAAATGTATATCCAAGTCTTGGTACACTTACCTATACGATATCTACATAGAGACATTACCCTCATATCAGAAATACAAGCTGGAGCAGGTGAAGCATTTACATTGATTTACCAGGAAGCTTCTCTAAGCCTAAAAGTTATTTACCTTCTGTTTGTCAAGTATCTTCATGGCAAAATGCTGGCCCGACTCTTTGTGTTTCACCAGCATGACTCGACCAAACGACCCGGTGCCTAAGGTCTTCAAACGCTCAAAGTGGTCCAATGCCGCAGTTTGCTGAGGGGTGGGAGAGATGGCAAGAAGAGGAAAGGGTGAATGACAACATTACAGCGACATACTGTGGAAAGCCTGACTTTAGTTTCATGATACCTTCTGTCAAATAAACATCATGTCAGTAAAACGTTTTAAAGTTATTTAGAAATGTTTGAATTTGACTTGGATTCTACATTAGAGTTGATATTTCATACTAAAAACATAAATATAATGTATTTCACATTAGCCCAGCAGAGGGTGCACTGCCCCTCCAAAAATAAATAGGACTCATTCTGTTCATGGGCGGGACTATTTTTATGAGTCTGAGAGGGAACTAGTCTGTGAAAAGTTAATAAGATGCATAATCACAACATACAAACGCAATTAGCAAAAGTACAATACCACTGCAAAATAACAAGATAGTAATTCTCTTTCACTCTCACCTGTGCTGGGTTCTCCCATTTCTTCAGGAAATCTTCTTTGGCTTTGGCAAGAAACTCCTTCACTGTAATTAAATACACATGTGCATATTCATTATAGAGAGCGTATGCGTCTACAATAGGTCACCAGACATAATCACCAAGACCCAGAGAAGACCACAATGTTGTTGTTGTTGTTGTTCTTACAAAAAAGGTGTGAGGCCTTAGGGAGATGTTCCGACAGGTGAACTGAGCACGTTAAACACACCTGTATGTGCAAGCTCAATCTGGTGGTGAATCAATCTACTCGCTAAACCCACAATGTATGAGGACACAGGAAGTTCCAAACTAAATCATTTGGTCCCCCTGCAGTACCAATCAGTGGAGGGGTGCATCACATTTCTAATGCACTGCCAATCCATTTCTTTTAAATGAATGACCTTGCTGTACTCTGAGGGATAAATAATGACACGGCTTTAAATATTAATGATGCAAAGTATACTCCGAAAACCGTCAGCAAAACAGGTGTATTATCGATCTACTAGAGGACTATTACGACTCTGAAGAAGCTACGGGGAGTCGAGACACAAAGGCGTACAACAACAGTTGCTTCTGGAGTCTCGGCTTCACGGGAGAGCGGCAAAAAGAAAGTGGCGCGTGATATCTCAGCTAATGTTAGCCAGGAGGCATGTTGGAGACAGGAGGAAGGTTCAATGGGCTGCACAGGGAAAAACAAGCAAGGAGGGACGGTGCCGGAGTCAAAACCTCAACCCTATCAAGAGTTTGGGACGCTACTTTAATATTGCTTTTCATTTGAGGTGCCAATACAGCTTGACACAACTGAGCAAAAACAACCTTGGACATAAGCTGGAGGAAGCCACTGCCCCACAACACAGAACAGCAGGATCTGCACAACCTCCTTGTGAGATAATCCAAGTTGATTTCAATTAGTAAAATAATGATTTTTCTTCAGAGGAGGACTTCAGTCAGGGGTGTAGTGGACAAATACATGTGTTTATGCTAAGAGAGCAGTTGATGCTACAATGCCTTCAGAATACACCTACACATGAGAACTCTGAACACAGTTTATGACATGGCAACACAGTGCATACATGCCACTGAAGACTAACAGACATAGGCCAGTGGACTGAGTTTGACAGCTTGGCACACACACACTATCATATTATGCAGCCATTCATTTTTCTTGACCTTATCTTTATGAGGCTAATCACAGTGCTCTGTGGGAACATGTAGATAACCAGTCCTTCCCCATTCCTCCTTACTAGTTGAGGACACAAGCTGCCATAGCAGATGAATTAGGACAGCTTCTACCGTTGGCCTGGGACACACGATCTACGTTTAACAAATGGACAATATTTGTAATTGAATTACAGTAAGTAAGAGCACATGCTTAAAAAAATATGAAAACATTTTGAATGGAAGAGTTCATAAATATAAAATGAGTTCAAAGTAGAAATAGTGGATGTGTCCATCAATACTAATGTTATTAAACTAATCTATATATAAACAGCTAACAACAAACCACGTTAAGCTATTCAGGATCATTTAAAATGTACATCTGCTAAGATAATCGATGAAAAACAAAAAGCCAAGGTCAAAGCCTAAATAAAGCCACAGCCTGTCTGTAGTGAAAGAGCATGTTATCACCAACGTTAAACTAAAGGGCTTTTAGATATGTTTAAAAATTGGATAAATATTATGAAACATATAAATAGTAACTAGAAATTTCTCATGCAAATGTGTTTATCCGCTACACACATACACTTGAAAAGCTACACAAAGGCTTAATCCCCATCCACTTAATGTGATTTCCTGCAAATTCTCCAAAGACCAGCAGCTCCGACAATAGGATGGGAGAAAGCCAGCGAGAACGGCAGAGACCAAAGTTCGCATAAACAGGTCGAGAGCACTGTTGCTCCCACAGAGAGCGCTGGGGGCTGGCTGGTCAACAGGGGAGAAAACATTTCCCGTGAAAGTTACTCAACTCCCACTTCCGAGCAGCAAGAGCCACAAATGAAGCGATTACTGTCAGAAGTTGGAGCGGCTGCAGAGGAAAGACGTGAATGCTGCTGCTCAGGTAGCTGGAAGCCTAATGGCCGCATGAAAGGCTGCCTTTGAGGAATCCTATCTTGATCAAATCTCTGTCTTTTCTGAAGCTAGGCTTGTATAACTACTATGTTAATTGATTGACTCCTCAACTCTCATGTAACCCCAAATTCCTTACCATCTGGGATGACTATGGGTACCTCTGGTGCTGCAGCAGCATCTGCCGAGCGTGACCCTGATTCACTTGAGCGCGAGGATGACTCCCTCTTTCCTGCATGCCTTCTGGAGCTCTTCCTGTCACACATTAGCCCAGCAAAGTCTCCCCTGTTCTTCTTCCTTGGCCTCCTCCTCAGAGTCACTGATTCATCATGACCCTTCCTTCCCCTCTGAGAGCACTGTGGTCAGATCAGCAGCACCCCCCCTCATCCACAGAAACCAAGTGTCCCAGCCAGTGGGGAGTCTTCAGTCTTTCCTGCAACTGTCACTTCACCAAAGTTCAGAAAGTATCCACAAACATAGCATGGAGACCAGCACTGCCTCCCCCTACACTCACACAGATCAATTGGACCCTTGCTTTGCTTTGTATCAATATTTATTCTGTACACAAAGTACTCTCTGCCGTTCCCTCCCATATCAGACACAACCATACACACAGAGGCTATATATTGATCAAAACAGGGGCATAATCACCAAAGGGAGGGGCGTAAAACACCAGCTGGCATATTTATCTGACCCAGAGAGGAAGTCCTATGGAAAACTAGGCCTAAGTGAAGACCATGAGATGAACTAGATACATCAATATTCGAGAAACGTATCCTAATTAACAGAACCAATTGGATGTCACAGATGAATAGCTTTAGGAGTTGATCTGGATGTTTTCAAAAACATAAAAAGGAGACAAGCAAATGAAGAACGCTCCAACCACAGTGAAACTTTTTTTTCTTGCCTAAATGCACCAGAGAGTCTATGTAGTTCCACTGCTCCATCGATCCTACAAAAATCAATGCTACATCTGTCCCCGGGGCCCCACAGGCCAACTCTGACGCAGGAACACAGGGGTTATATTAGGGCGAACTGACCGACATTTAACTGTGAAGTGCGCCCAATTGGGTCCCAGACTACACCGGGCCATGTTCAGAGAGCATACATCCCCATGTGGGGCATAATAAATCAGTCAGAGGGCAAACAGAGATGCATGTAAACTAGAATGGCGTTTTGTGTGTGTCATGTGTGTGAAAGTGAGAAAAAATGGTTTTTATCGGCTCAATACTGACAGTAGATATTTGACTGGTGAGCAAGAAGTTACTAGAATTACCACCAACGGGAAAGTACTTGTCATTCTACTGAAATGAATGAATTGGCTAGAAAAAAATGACTGAGCAATCCAGGAGCAAAGAAACTAAATTAATTATCACATCCAGTGTTTCCGTCAGACCAGGGCTGAGAGGGCATCCACCCCGAGAGCGGGGGGGGGGTCACGTTGTGTCATGTTACTTGAATTTTGAATTGAGCCTACCCTTACAGATAATATTTCTTTACGTTACTGATGGGAATTACGGCTCTTTTTAGTGAGACGGATCATTTGGCTCGGTTCACTAATGGCGCATTTCCACTGCAGGGCCTCGCACGGCCTTGGTAGGCCAGGCCACTTTATACTGCAGGCGGAGGTGTAGGCGGAGCCGTGACATCATCTTCAATGCGAAACACAAAACCAACATCAACCGTTAGCTGTTAGCCCTCAGAGCTCACAGTTCCTCATATCTGTTCAGAAACTAGACAAAAGTTAAACAAGAAAAAAACCACAGACTGTCTGTGTCATGGCGAATACAGTCGCTGGTTTATTTATGTCTGTATAGGCCGTTGTTGTGAGTGTGGACGGTCGGAGCATATACAAAGTTAGCTTAGCCGATCTCCATTCAGAAAACACACATTTTAAAAGTTTTTTTCGCCTGCCGTCTGTCTGCAGACTTGTCAAAGCATTAATTCATGGTTTTTACTAACCGGTATCTAGTGCTGTGTACCTGGACTCACATTCAGGTTCAGGTCCGGACTCAAGTCCAGAGGTTCAGGTTCAGGTCCGGACTTATAAGTCCGGAATTGTGTCAAGTTGTGTGAGTAACTAAAGTGAACTTATTGTGAGCTAATTATCAATTGAAAATAAACTCATAATCAACTCAAATTCAAACTCGTCAGGTTTATTGTGCTCCCTTCCAACTTGTGTCTACACCATGTCTTTTCTAGAACTCTACATGTGTTACTAACTACACAACACAACTACATACATAGTGATGTACATACAAGACTCAATATGCAAGAGTACAAGTCTATGTGTTCTTGTTCAAGAACAACAGCATATTGACATTGTCTGGGTGAAGTGTTGCTCCTTCGGCAGACACTATATCACCATACATACAAAGGAGTTAGCTTAGCTACGCTACCAAATATGGCAACCAGCATCCCACGCTGTCAGTGTCCACTATGTCTAAGCCAGCTTCCCTTGACGTCACACAGATCTCGCGAGCAGTTGCGATATTTTGCGAGACTTCGTGAGCTCAGTAATGGCCGCCATATCAGGAGCCAAAACAATGTTTTTCGTCTTTTCTCAGCGCAAATTTCTCGATCTATGGAAGGTTTTAGATGGTTTAGAACACAAAGGAGAATATACGTAAGTAACGGTTCCTGACGTTCCGGTTTTAACCGGACTTGAACCGAAACCTTTTACAAGTCCAGTACCGGTTCGGCGTACCGGTACGCAGCACTACCTGTGAGTGTCTCTGACCCTCTCACTGCACAGCGATGGATGCTTCATTTGCAGTGTGAGTTGTAAAAGTATTGGGAGTTGCTATTAGTGGAGCAGTTAGTTCGATATGGGGCATGTGGGGTCATCTCAGTTTGCTTATAGTGCAGGACATGGAGCTCAGTCTTCAGGGTGCAATATGCTGCTGNTGTTCATTAAAAAGAACCTCCCACTTTTCCTTAATAAGTAGACAAGGCTGGCTTATCATAAGCTTATCTAGTT